TAGTGGCATTTAATTCATCTTCAGTAATCTCCTCATCTTTTCCCTTTTTCTTCCTGTCTCAGAGCACATTTTAAGATATTCAGAATAGCTCCATATTTTTGAGGGATTTTTTTTAATCTCTGTATTTGTCCATTCTCAAATAGAGTTTTAGATCTACTTAAAAACAGAAGGTACATTGATGAGCTATGAAAAAGTGGGTGAGACAAGAAGGAAAAGGGTGGTAGGAACAGTGAGAGGAAGAAAGATGGAGACAGTGAGAAATCAGCTGTCTCTGCTTCCTACTCTTCTTTCCCAGGTGATCCTTCTACCTGCTCTAAATTAATATCAAAGCCAGAGGGAGCAGAAAAAGGTTGGTGGGGGAAAAAACGACAACCTTAGGAAAAGAAAAATCATGATGCAGAAAAGCGTCTGTCCCCTGTCTAATTCCTGCAGTGGCCTGTAGCTGATGGTGCTGAGAAAAATACAGCAGCAAGCTCTGACATTTCATTTCTGTGGAGAATTGAAAAAGGGCTTGCTATAATTCATCGCTTCTTGTAACTCAAACCCTTTTTGACAGGGGTACCTGCGCTGTCTTTTAACAGTGGCACCACAGTGGCTGTAATTGGACATGAAAAATGATGTTGTGTTTCTACTTGCTGGGAGAATTGGGGTGGGAGTAGGTGGGGCAGTGGCAGTTTGGTGTGAGATGGTGACATCTGGCATAATTTGGACGGGTTGGTTTTTGGCAAAAAAGAAGAAAGGGCAACGCAAAAGGAAGGGTACGAAGCTTAGCAAGTGTGATCACCTTGCCTAAGGTTTGCTAAGGGTGGTACTCATCACAGATGAACATGCAAAGAATCACAGGAAAATGAGAAGTGTGATGCACATGAAGTTCTAACTCCACCATCAACACAAATATTTACAGCATTTGTGGGAAAAGGACACAACCTCTCCTCCTGAAATAGACCCATTCACAGCCACCATGGTTCTTCTTCCCAGTACAGATGGGGAACCTGAGCCGTAGGCTTTTCCTGACGCCACACTGGGAACACAGTTGTGCATAAAACTCTGGTGTGCATAACACTCTCTCACCACCTCTCTGAAAACTGTGCCTATATATGTAATCCAGATTAAATTATTTGGCTCTTCTCTCAATCTCTGTGCCTCAGTGGTCCTCAGCACATCTTTGTTACAAAATTGTTGTCGAGCAAAGCACTTCAAAGTAAATTTTTGGCCAAATGGGACTCTGAATCATGAATGAGGATAAACATTGTCCTGATTTATAATGGTTTTATAACTATAGAGCATTACGGTACCATAAAGTCAGATATCTCCCTATTATGGAGGGAATAAAAAATTTTAGTCAGGTCTTAAAGGATGGTAGAGAATTTAAAGAGGAGATGAATGTTTTTGGGACTGACAAATGGTAAAACAATTTACTCCTTTCTCAGTGGCACCCCAACAGGGGTGACATAGAACAGGGAAGCATGATCATATTTCAGATGAGAGCACAAAGAGCAACCATGAGCAGAGGAAAGAAGGATGGCTGAAAGAACAGGAGGGTTGCACATCCTAGAGGAAAGCCTGACAGTGCACTCACTCCATCTACCAGTTCAGATGCTGGGTCAGCCTGCCCTAGGTCTTTTCCCATGCAGCCAAATCCCTTTTGAAGCCTTCTAGTGACAGGGTTTAATAACACCTTACAGCCACATCTGTAATTCCACAGATCCCAGGTGAATTTCCTGGTGGTATTAATCAGATTTGCTGTCTGGAAAATATTCTTTCTCCTGTCACATTCTCAGGGTCCACCAAGACAGGACACATATTAAAGATGTCCATATCACTATTTCCCCAAACACTCTTCAGAAGGCTTCATTTTGGAGTACAAACTTTGGTTTAATTCCACTTAATTTATGGCCACTTCCAGCTAAAGAATAAGCAGGGAACTTGAATATCTGAATACCCTTCTCCCCACTAAGGCATTTCCCCAGGGTTAGAAAGCTGCGTTGTTCTGCCATTTTATTTCCCCACTTAGCCCTTTTCTGGTCCCCATGATAGGTCCTTGCTCCCAGAGTGCCTGTATAAAAAAAAAAATTCCATAGATGGAGAAAGGAAACTTAATTATTTTCCTCTCAGTGTTTCTCCCTATAATTGGTGTCTTTCATGTCAAGATGATCTCAATTTGTATTATGGGCTCCGTTCAGGCAGCACTTTCTCTTTGGTCTATAAAGAAATTGTCAAGTGTATAAATCATAGTGTACATTAAATTACACTAGCCTTTTACTTATTAATTTCCTCAGTTTTTTCTTCCTCTGTTGGATGCTCATTCTCTCACTCTTTTTATAAATTTTCTTCAGAACTGACTGCTTTTTATCACTCCTCAATATCAGAAAGAAAAAAAAAAGAACCAAACCAAAACAAACAACAAAAAAACCCCAAAAAAACAAACAAACAAAAAAACCAAAAAACCAAAAAAACCCAACAAAACAAAAACAAAAAAAACCCCAAAGTCCAAACACATATTTGCCTCCTTTCATTTTCACCAAAGGGCCTGATAATGTCCTCTGCCTTGTACAAAGTGACTTCACTCAAGAAGAAAGTGACTTCACTCAGAAAGAAATACGAAATCTCTCCAGTTTTCCTCAAGACTGGACCCAAATGTGACTTGAGTTCAGTGCAAATTTTCATGAACTTTAGCACAATTCAGATCAGTACCTACGTGGGTGGATTTATGGGATGTTCTGCATCTCAAGGCTGTGTCCATTTGGGCTCCAGACTTTGCCTCTCAAGGCTGTGTGCTGCACACCTCCTGTAAATTCCTGGCTACTGTGGCATTTCTCTGACTGACTGCTTGGGATGCAGCTTCTGGCTGTCTTGGAATGAGCACCAGGGACCTCTGACCCCCCTCTTCTGACCATAGGCATTGGATTAGCCATAGGGTTCCCATCAGGAGCCCGTAATCTGGAATAAGGGGGCAAGTGTTGAAAGTAACCAGATCTTGAGCCAGACTTTGGCACGTGCATGGCCAACACCAGCCTGCTGCAAACACAAACAGCCAGAGGTCCAGCAGCTGAGGGAAGCAACCAAGGAATTTAGCTTCATTGTCCTGCACATGAGAAGCAAGGTGGGGCTCATATCAGCTAAATCTAAATGCAAAGACAACCTCCATGATCAGTAGAGAGGAAAGGACACTGGAAAAGACCATGCATGGTTTATGCCTCAAACACCAGGCTTAAGAGCGGCTTAGAGTTACACTTTCTACACATTTGGAGTTACATGACACTGAGTACTCTCCTCACCTGTGTGGTGTCAGATCCATGAATGTGAGTAGCAGCTAGCTGCTCACATGTGGGTATAAAGGAGCCCTGTGGCAGGATATCTGTCCTCTGCTGCTGCTTCATACATCACCTCTGCCCTGCTAATACCTTGTGGTACTTCTGTGAGCAACTTTGCAGAAGCAAGGGCTGATACAAGGTTTAGCTATTACCAGGTTCTTTGTTGGTTTCAGCACCTCAGCTGTCTGGATTTTGTTGGATGGTACAGGCATAGAGGAGAGCAGGAACTGCTCAGTAGCGTCTGTAGCCATGGATCCTTCTCTTGCAGAGTGTGAGTCTAACTGTAGTCATTTTATGGATAAGTACATTTTCCTCTAGAGACAACAATACAGCAGGATCTGCTAGGCTCTTCATCATCTTAACCTACTTGTCAGCCAGCTTGATAACTTGTTGTTACTAAAAATGTGTGCAGAGCAATTAGAATAAATCTAACTTATTATGAAGCGCTTTTCAAAAAAAAAAGAGGAAAATTAGGAAAAAAAAAAGAAAAATGAAACTAATGGCCTTGCTGCCCAACTATGATTAGCCACAAATAAGGGATGGATTAATTCCCTGAAGGCATTCTGTGATATTCATCAGCCAATTTGTGATCTGACTTTACTGGGAAGACATATGTTAGGAGATTCCTATTGCCTTCTGACCTCGTGCTCCTTGTGATGCTTGTTTGAACTTGTACTTTCTTTGTTGGTTGATGGATCAAAAAGATATTTTCATTCTGCTCAGAGGTGGTCACACATAGAAAGATATTTTGAATAGTCCATCTGCACAGGGTATTGATTGCCTTATGTGACAAGAAGTATGAGGCAGGGAAGGGCTTTCAGACTAAATTCTCAGCTGGTTGTGATCCAGTCTGCATCCCTGGCTATTGATATCCCTGTTCTTCAGGCTCCTACATCATGTTAGGCACTGCCAGTGAAGAACATTGTGAGCATCTGCTGCCCTCTCTCCTGGGAGTGAGCAGCTCTGGGGATAGTGATGGTCCCCAGTGATTTTGTTGAGTGAGAGAGGGATAATTTGAATAACAGAAACCTATCACAACACAGTGGCGAGGTTTTTAAACCTACTTGTATAGTGATATGAGAAAGGAAAAAGATATCTGAAAAAGCAATAGAAGGAACATCTGGTCCTCTACCGCCAGAAAATTCTCGGTATCCAATACTCCTGCAGCAAGTGGACAAATTAGATCCAAATCCAGGTTTGAAATGGAGGCTGCTATGTCACACATGACTATCCTACTGAGCTAACAGTAGAAGTGGAATTAGCTTTTCAATTTCCTTCCCCTCACGCCAATCTCAAGAAATTTTTGCAGTTTAAGTTTCACTGGTCCTGATGTTCTGACAAAGCATTTTTGCTGTCATGCACCAGTGTTTCCAGGGGAAACTATTAGAAATTTTAAAAGTTACATTTAAAATTTCATGACCTGTGTAAAATGAGTCAGATCCCTCTCCCAGTGTGATTCAACAAAGCCACTGTCGGGTAAGAGGAGTGACACTGATTTATTTGTCTCAGACCAAGCTGCAGACTGCACTGGTTAGTTCTTTGTTTACTAATTGCTTTTTTTCCCCTGCCTTGTGGAGTAAATTCTGGTGCTAATTATGATGCGCAGTAAAGAAGCAAAGCAAGCCTCTGTATATGAATGTCTGACTCCTCCATTAATTACATGTCTGTCTTTGTTCTTCCTTGCAGATGAACAGACCGATCCAGGTGAAGCCAGCGGACAGTGAAAGCCGAGGAGGTAGTTGACTGCATTGCTTTCAGCCACAGTGCTAAATATAATTGTTGTCTCTGGCTTCTCTCAGGCAATGTGCTGATCAATTAGTAACGTAATCACTGCCAAAGAAATTCCCTCCACAGCAAAGATTCTCTTTATTAAATCTCCTTTACTTCATCTCACTTTCCTCATATTCAATTATTATTTGATTTTAAAAGGCAGGCAGGTGCCAGCGATTGCCTGAGAAACAAATAACTGCCTCGTTAAGAAGTGAAGCATCAGGCACTGACTTAACAAAGTTTAACAGCAGTGGACAGCAATGGGGGTTTTTTCAAGCCTGTGTCAGGCTGAGCTGTAGAGGTGTTTAATTTGGTTAAGATAAAGCAGAAATTCTATGGTTCCTCTAACCATGTTGTTTCTGCTTGCACTGAAGCAACTCTACTTCTGGAAAAAGCAAATTCTGAGCTGGCAGAGTTTTCTGCACCTGTATCAGCTTATATGGATAAACCTGTTGTGGAAAATAAAGACTTCTCCCAGACCCTGGGAGTTATTCAGGATTTGCACAGGTATAGCTGAAATCAGGAGCTGGTATTTTGCTTTTCCATTCTACACAGTGGATTTGGAAGCTTTGTTAAGTGATTGTTCAATAGATCACCAGTGATGAGGTGTTTCCTGTAAAAGGTTTTTTACCTGAACTGATGTGGTGATACTTCACCATACTCTTCTAATAGGAGCCTGTTTGTCAGATCAAACACACAGATCACTGAGAGAGTGTGAGATGGTCTCTTATGCTGGATAAATTACCATCCTGCTATTTTTTTCTTGCGTCTGTACATTTATATATATATACACACGCATATATATAATGACATGTTCTCTTCCTCTCTATCCCTATCTCTTTGGGAAAAAAAATAGAGAGCCTTTTCCTCATCTTTTCAGTAAAAACCTCTAGTGCTTATGTATCTGATAAATGTGGGAGTAGATTTTGTCATTTAGTAATGATGTGGCTCTTAGATGTCTGAAAACTCTTCAATTTCCACCATAAATATAAACTTTTCTTCATTTGTGGGATGACTATCTTTGTGCTGGCATTAGTGGAAATCTCTGGCAACAACTACTTAAAAGGAGAAAAATGCCTCACAGAGAAAAGGCACCACATTCTCTCTCTTTTCATTTGAAAGCTGTGGATTTCAGGGACTTTGGCTGCGTCAGTGTGAGGCTGAAACTCTCCAGTGACTCAAGTTGTTGGGAGAATTTGTATGTAGCTTGTAGTTAAAGAGTTGGTGTGACAGGCTGGTGAAACCACAGGTCGAAAGGGGCTCTGTAAGGACTGGCTGTGGTGCTGTGTAACTGCAGATCAGGAGAACTGAGTGCTGGCAAAGCACCAGAAATCTCAGAGACAAATACTGCCCTCTCTAAAGAAAATTTGGGGGAATTTGGTTAATACAGGGTGGAAAGTACTGATGGAATCTGGCAAGTTCTGCATTCAAGGGCCAGGGCACATTTCTGACTTGCAACAAAGACGCGTCACATCCTCCAGCATTGTCCAGCAGTTTTTAATAGAACCAGGTCAATTTCTTCCCCTTTCCCTCCTTGTCTGATGATCTGGCTCTGTGTCTGAGTCGGATTGGGTAAGCCATGGGCAGTTGTCAATGCCAATCTCCTGGGGAAAATGGAAAGGCTCAGCTGCCTGGGCAAATGAGGGGACATTAAGCACATTCCAGTGGAGCTCGTGCCGACAGCGAGAGTGAAGGGAGGGCCTTTTGTCCATTTAATTAGACATACCAAAAAATAATAATTAGGCTGGCCAATTTGCCTAGTGCGCCTACAGGGTATGTAGCTCCCAATCTTTTTCTTTTTTTTTTTCTTTCTTTTTTTTTTTTTTCTAATGCAAATCAGTAATAGAGAACACATGCCTGGCTTTCTGGGGAGGGTTTTCAAACTCCTTTGCTAAGAGCAGCTGCTTTCAGGAGCAGTGGTTTGAACTGCAAAGGGCTCCAGTGGCAGCTTGATTCCACATTATCACATCCGTGGCCCCCTCCCCCTTGTATTTTAGCTAATTATCTCCTCATCTTACACAAACCTCATCTTTTCCCATCCAGCCTGCTCCCATATTTCTCCTGTCAGTGGCGATCATAATGCAGAGGCCAAGCGGGCACTCTTGTCATTGGTGTGAAAGACACGTTGTCCTAATTCCCCACTGACAAGCTGCTTCTGGGCTGGGGATGCTCCAGGACGGCATGACTCAAGGGCAGCTGTGGGAGAAAAGAACAATTGGCACCCAAGGGAGGCATTGTGTGAAAACTTACGTTCTTCAAGAGCCCACCGGTTAGAGCAGGCACAGCAAACAGAATGCTAAAGAGGAGGCCATGTGTCTTAGGAGCACATCAAAAGGCTTCATTAGGGCTGCAAGATAAAGGTCAATCTAAACAATAAAGAAATTTCAGTTGTGGCTTATTATACCCTGTCCCTCTATCAGGATGGGACGTAGGGGAGGAGCGGGGCTTGGGAGATGAAGCAGCTCTTCCACACAGCACAAGTCTTTGGTCTGCCCAAAACCCACACTCTGGATTATGGGGAATACACACCTTGGATTAAGGGGAATTCTGGTGCCAGGCCACAGTGTTAGTGAAAAAATGCAGTGTTCTCTGGAATTGAAGTTTGCAACCAAGTTTTTACTGAAAAAGGTGAGCAACATTCTTGCGGAAGTGAGATTGTGTTTTCTTTGGGGACAAATACTTTCATTTTACTAAAACAGGAATCTTTGAATTTTTCAGCAAGTTCTTCCACAAGTAAAAGGTGATGAGAGTCACAAATTTATTCTCTCCTTCAACTAGATTAAGATCAGTTTTTCTTGTTGTTCTGGAGTCTGGATTTTTTTTGGTATTTAACCCTCCAGGTGTCCTAATTCTCACTTGAAATGAAAGTGAGTGTTAGCATTCAGTGTGTGTGAGCTACAATTTAGACTATATAAGTTTGGGAAAGTGTTCAGCATATTTTTTGTCAACAATTACAGTCAACCCACCAAAATGGCTATGGTGAGTGCCCCTTAATAATTTTTCTGATTTTATTATATTTTTGTTAATCTCCATATTGTACAATGAGGAAAACAAAGCGTGAAAACCTTTTAAACAAAAACTGGCATTATTTACATTTGCCTAATCCCATGGGAAATAGAAATTAATGTGTCCTCAATATATTTCTCTAGGGAAATAGTCTCAATTACTGGGAAAATTTTGCATTTTACATTCCTGCTTGTTTGTGCATGTATGTGCATAGTCAAGATACAAAATATTCTATAGGGGTACTCCTTTTACAAAATGCTTCATAAAGCTTCAAATACCTGATCAGAAGATCAGAGTCCTTCGAGATTTTTTACTTTAACACTAACAGAATTGGTGGAATATGATAGAAAACAAGCAATTCCATATTTTGTCATGAAAAATCAGATTGTGAGTCCAGCTTTATTAAGGATATCTTATGAACTTTCATTAGCCTTTGTTTTGGCCATTTTATCTTGATTATATGGAAACTACTTTGCCAGAGATTACTTAGTCTAATACAGTTTTAGGGATGTAAGCTGGAACTTCACATCAAAATTTTGAACATAAAAAATCCCAACTAAACTGTTAGATTCCCTATTATTTTCATCTTGGTGGAGGTGGTTTTCCTCAGCTCCTTGTCTGATATTAAGCTCTAAAAATAGCCTGCAGGTATCTATCACTTAAAGTTTCTCAAACTTGGAGAATGATCTCAAGTCTGTTTTGTGGTTTGGGGCAAAAGTTTGGAGCCATTTCTTATTTCATCCACAATATCTCCAGCTCTCACTAGGCAGCTCTCACTGCAGCTGGCAGGGTTAACCTATGATAAACGCAGCCCCCAGGTCCCACTATGTTGTACAGGCAGTAACATTTTTTAAAAGGAAAGGACTCTCCTGCTGCTCCAGCTGCAGTCCGTTAGTGATGCTTAGATGCTCCACTGCTCCCACATTCCTCTCAAAGGACAGAGGAAGGTCCGTGAAGGAAACCATGCGAAGATGTACACGGTGTGCTACCCTGGCTCTGCGTAAATGTCACTACCAAAATGTGTTTTGTGGTGGTTTTGGGTCCTCCAGCCTTCAAACAGAAGGCTCTTGGACTAAAGAAAGGAAAAGTAGAAAGTTGTTTAGGGTTGAAAGGGTGTAGTGTCCTGCAGAGACAGTGTCAAGAGGTTTACAGGACAGACTGTGGTGCGTTGTGCTGCAGTATTTCTGCAGTATTTCTGCATGCAAGAAAGCTGCTAAAGTTTCTGTCTGTGCTTTCAAGCAGATTATCTTTTGTGCATGTTTGAGGGAAGTGTGTGCTGTGTTGTCAGGACTCAGGACATCTCTCTGGCTGTCTTGAGCAGCTAAGATTTTTGCCAGGGGTCTCAGAGACCCTGTCACAGAGCTTAAAATGCCTGTGGTTTTGATTATGACAGTGGAGCAAGTTACTAACTTTAGATGAAGATTTGCAAGCTATGACAAATTAAGTAGAATAATAGTGAAGTTATCACAGGGTGGAAAAGTAGATTTTGGAATTTTTGGTTTGGGGGTTCAGGAGGCAAGATGGAGGGATCTGGGTGTGTCCAGCCTTTCTCCTTCTTCTTCTTCTTGGCCTCCATCTTCTGCTGTGATGTTGGCACTTTTAGATTGGTTTAGAGTAGAAGCTCACTGTCTAACACAGGTGATAGGTATTGGAAAGTAATTGTAAATATTGTACATGTAGTTTTTAGTATAAAGACATAACACCACCTCGGGGGCAGGCAGAGTGCCTGGAACTGTCCTGCTGGACAGACCTCGGCAGAGCAGGAGAAAATTTTTTATAGATAAGACACAATAAACAACCTTGAAACTGAGAAATTAAGAGCTCTGACTCATTCTTCAAGCGCCGGGCTGGGAAAAGAGACTTTCTAACTTTTCTCGGAGTCCCTCTGACCAGCTAAAGATCCCAACACTGTGTCATTTTTTGTTGCTTGGCAGCTAGAAGGCTTGGGCTTCATATTTC